AACTAAGAGCTTCAGAAATAATAGTTACACACATACATCTTATGTCCCCTTAACCTAACCATGCACCCAAACCAAGTCATATGTTAAATCAATCTTACCTATTATTTATATATATTTTTTGTAAATATGGCTAAAAAATCCAATTTTTCTGATTTTATTTTTATCCCAAACCTGGAAAGTTTACATAAAAAAACAAAAAAAATCATGGAACAAATGAGACAACGTATATAGCTGCACATGTTTGAAGATATTAATCTATTATTTACTATTCTCACCACTGTCGAGTGTAACGCTCTTTCATGCGCTGGTTTATTTATTGACTTGTCTAAAAGACTCTCCTCTCTTCAGGACTGATACGCTTGAGATAAGAGATATAGATTTTAAGGGTATCTTTCAAGTATCAAGACATATTAATCCAGACTTTCTGAAGTACATTTATGTACTCAAAATGCATCTGTTACAGTATAAAATATTGTGCCTAAATACTGTATTTGTACATATGTTATCGTCCATAAATTTGTTAATAAATATATCAAATATTTGGTGGTGCTCTATTTTGTTTTGTGAGACTCTCCCCTCCTCCTGAACCTCGTTTCTGTGTATGAATATTTCAATCACTTGTGCAAAACTTCAGAAAATTGTAAACACCTCATTACACAATGTACAATTAGATGCCAGAACCACTTAACGTCAAATCCCACATTAAAGGCATTCATTTGCAGTTCCACTTTAGAAGCAAATTGACACGAAATAGAATAAGACAGTGTACATTTTTTTCCCCTGTGCACCAAATGCAGATATTTGGATTTATAATGTTTGCATGCATCTAAAATCCTTCAACCTGGAGCTCTTGGGTAAAATAACGAAGTAATCCAGGAGTATTACTATAAACAAAAAAGATATGAATACTGTAATACTGGTTTGGAGTAGCATACTGAAACACTACTCTTACTAGTTACGCAGCATATAGTATGCAAATATATGCATTCATGGAATCAGGGCCAGTTCTAGACATTTAGAGGCCCTATGCAAATTCCCCTGCCCCCAATAAAAAGCACTTGAAACAAATATGATTCCTAATCTTTTTATTTGTACAACATTTAATTTTAAAATGTGTATATTTTACTTATACAGTACCGGTGAAAAGTTTGAACACATTACTATTTTTTACTGTTTTTGAAGTCTGCATTTATTTGATCAGAAATACAGACAAAACATGTAATATTGGGAAATATGATTACAATGTAAAATAATGGTTTTCTATTTTTACCATACTTTAAAATAACTCTTTCTGTGATGCAAAGCTGAATTTTCATCAGTCATTACTCCAGTCTTCAGTGTCACTGATCCTTCAGAAATCATTCTAATATGCTGATTTATTATCAATATTAGAAATATATTGTTGTGCTGCTTAATATTTATTTTATAATCTGTGATACTTTTTTTCAGGATTTTTTGATGATTAAAAAGTAAAAAAAAAAAACGAAAAAAGAAATACTGACCCACTGAATTACAAACTTTTGAACGATATTGTTACAAAAGATTTCTATTTTAAATAAATGCTGTTCTTCTAAAACTTTTCTATTTCACAATATTACTGTTTTTTTCCTGTATTTTTGATCAAATAAATGCAGGCTTGATGCACATAAGAGCCTTCTTTCAAAAATATTAAAAATAGTAATGTGTCCAAACTTTTAACTGGAACAGTATGTACATATTAATCAAACTTCATCTAAGGTAATCTCTTTTTTGTTCATTGAGGATGTTATTATAGCCGTGATATTATTATTGTTGTTGTTATTATTATTTTGCAGTAATTTGTTCAGTTATTTATTCACAGTTCCTAAATATCACTTCAGTAAATGAACATCAGTGCTTTTATCATTTTTTCCTAGCTGGGTGTGGGCAGGATTTCCCCTCGCATTTAATCAATATTGACTATAGAAATGGTCATATTATTAATATTAAAATTAAGATATTATACATTGCATTGCTACCTTAAATATGCACTATATACACAAATCAAGTGGAAGTGAAAGCAACATTTCTAGTTTTAGTTAAGTGTTATGTTAGAGCAGAAATGTTATCATCAGCAGAATTTAGAAGATACACACATCTGAGGTACTTTTTTTGGAACATTAAAAAAGGCTCTAGTGTGGCTCTACAATTGGCTGCTATAGGTAGCGTTGGTGTTGTGCCCAATTCTGACCCCCCGCCAGATTATTACTAGTGTTGGGTAGATTACTTGCAAATTGTAGTCCGTTACTGATTACATGATAAAAATTGTAGTTAGTAACAAACTAGGTTACTCACTTTAGGTAACTACCTTTTAGATTACTTTTAGATTTTTACTTTTAGATTTGTTTTAAACCTACCATTGCTTTTGCCCTCAAATTCAGAAGCATGGATCGCAAAATTATTTACATGAACATTCTGTATTGTCAAAGCTAAATGGTATGACACACAGCAGGATTTTTGGAAAGGAAAACGATATAAGAGAAATGAAGAATTAAGGAGAATCAATAAATTGTGTATTATTTACTAACATTTTATAAATAATATGCAGTGCTTGAAGTGGAAAAAAAAAAAGAAGTGCCGGTACTCCAATGGCGCTTTTCCACTGCATGGTACGGCACGGTACGGCTCGGTACGGTTAACTTTTGGGGGGTTTTCCACTGGGACCAGTACCTGGTACCTGGTACTTTTTTTAGTACCACCTCGGTTGGGGTTGCAAGTGAACCGTAACGTTACCAAAACGTGACGTGTAAACTCTGCTGATCACGGATTGGCCGGAAAGAATCGTCACTACCTGCGTCACTGAACTTGCGACACAAACACAAAAGAACCGCTAGATTTAAATCAGCACAGCCAGCGAAGGATCGAACGCAACTGTTTTGAATGAGCACACCTTTTTTAACAACCAAAAAGTGGCTGTTTCGCTGTCTGTTGAGGAAGTACAGACGTTTCTCTCGTTGATAGCAGAGGAGCGGATCCAGCGAGAGCTTGATGGGGCAACGCAAAATGAAAACGTTTTTTAGGAGTCGCGGCAGTAGAGGAGGCACAACTATAAGGACATGTGAATAATCCCGCCCACTCTAAAGCGGTACTGAACTGCAGTGGAAATGCAAACCGAGCCGAGCCGAGCCGTGCCGTGCCGTACCGAGCTGTACCACACAGTGGAAAAGCGCCACAATAGAGTACTCCAGATTACATGTAATCCATTAGTACACAGCACTGATTATTACTCCCCTAGTATTGGTAGGTTTAGGAGTAGGTGTGGGGGTGGGGTTAGAATTAGGCAATCAGGTAGCGACTTCAACAAGGGGGGTAATAATTTGGCAGGGGGTCGAAATAGGGATATCTAGACAACCTGCATTTGCCAAAATGTCTGGTTTACATGTGCAGCGTGGAACCCTGAACCGTTATATAAACTCAATATAATATTCTAGTGTGACTAATAACCCAGACATAGTAATATCAGCTGTGATTATATTAGCCCATCTTTCTCTTGACTCACCATTTAATCAAACTGCAAAGAGGATAGAAGTCTTAAAAATAGAATGGTAATTGGGAGATAAAAGTTAATATAAGAAATAAAGATAAAAGAATGTGACAAATAAAGTCACAGTTACAAGTAGTTGCAATTGCGATTTACCAATTGTGATAAGAAAATACAATTAGGCTTTTTTTGGTACTCCAGAATGGGCTTCCATAGAGCTGTTTTCACATAAAATAAGTTAAACAGTGCAAACCAGTGGCTAACGGGAGTGTTCTGGAAACCTGTTTGAAAAGTCATATTTTAAAAATGAAATATGATGCAAATCACAATGACGTGAAATAAATGTAAACACAAAATATTCTTTATTTTTCGTCTTTAACTAAAGACTACACAGATTCACTGCTGTGTGCTCTAAAAGGTATCTACATTTGCATTGTATTTACAGCCCATTTCTTGTCATCTTATTTACACTTTCAAACAGAGGCATTTAGAAACACAGTGTTGAGAACAAACGAAAAGTCCAAATGAGTCCAAAAGTTTAGAAAAAATAAAAGCCTTACGATGCATGTCAGTGCAATTTAATACGTTGCATTTTTTCCTTCATTCATCATCGTTCTTTGTAAATACAGCGATATTGTCAGACTCATGATGTTACTGCATTCAATGACAGTAAAATAAACCAAAATATGCTCGACAATATTATACAGCTTAAAACACTTGACCTATTCATGTTGGTGACCATCCCCAAGTGATTTCCCCAAGAGTGACAGCAGGGGCAGATTCGTATACCAAACGCTAATGTGAAGAGCCAGTGTGGCATCATGTCCGACATATTAACACCATCCAACCAGATATAGATGCTCTTTGAAGTTCTCATATCCAGATGGTGGGTTGATGTGCATTTCATGATGCACCTTCAGGCTTTAATGCATTTCAGGCAGCTTGCAGACTTTCACATTCAGAGCACTTACGACATTGCCCCTGCTTGGGAGACCTTTGGGGCAAAAGCTGTTCAGAAGGGTTGTCACCTTTCCTTACCACAATGTGCAGTGCTTGCAGCACTCAGTACATTTCTTAAAAAAAAAAAGGAGTCTGAGTGCACGTTTAAGTAATGTGCTTCATTTTTTTAAGTATTCATGCCGCTTTACGCTTGAAGCGTTTATTTCACTGACAAACATGAGGATGTATACTCCTCTAAAAAACACAGCACTAAAATAAATACTGTCATTCTTAGGAATGGTCTATATGCAACTCTTTGTTTTAACCATGAAAACAAATTAATTGAATTGACCAACTTTTCTGGACTTTATTCCATGTGTTGAAACACTAGGCATTGTTCAAGTACAACAATTAGCAATAAAAAGGGACAAATGTTCACATTTTTGTATTCTTTCACAATTGTTATACTGTTTTATGTGAAGGTTACCATGAAATAACGTGTTGATCTCAAACTATTTTATTAAAAAACAACATTTTCATAGTCTCAGTAGCTCCATTCCAAAACCTAGTGAGCTGCCTTTCTGTATACTGCCTACATAGGGATCTGCCTTCACAGACAGCACCCTAACAAGAAGGAACCATTATAAGTGATTAATCTGGATCTCTGCACGGCGCACAAATAACATGGGAGAATTGATTGTGATAGAGTTTGATGTTAGCATGTTGCTATGCTAAATGCATGATACTCTAATAAGCATAAGAATACACGGCACAGAAATATTGGAGAAAGAGTCCATAAAATAGTAGCTCAGATTACTACTATTGATACTTTAAAATAGGGAATTAAATATAAAAATTTGTATAATCAACATTTCTCTCAACTTGTCGGCCATCTTAGATTTTTTTACTTGCCTTCAAAACAAGGGCGACACTGCCTTGAATAAAACTAAATCTAACTACCTATTGGAACAGCTGTCAAATCAGAATGACCCTTAAATGTTGTCTAGGTTAGCAGCTAACTAGGTTTTGGAGCTAATTTCTTTCAATCAGTGTTGTTTCATTTCAAAAGTACCTTTAAAGAACTTGGGGTTACCTATTTCCTATTTGTTTCCTAAATTTCTGTCAATTTTCCAGATTTTAAGTGTGCATACTTCATTCTTATTTTCCTTTCTATTCATGTTTTAAGCCATTTGGTCAAAATTATATAAAAAAAAAAAGAATGTTACCAGCAAGCCACCCAGTCCCAAAATATTACAAGACACCACAACAAGTTTTCAACATGAGATGGGTTCAGCTAGGAATCTGAACTGGTAGCAATGCACTGCAAACACCAATGTCCTTAGTTTAAGTATGACACAGCCGGTGGGCTTTCAAGTATAAAAAGAAGCGATTAAAAGAGGTCTCTCCTTGGCTGAGGCGCGGGAAAAGGCAGAGTGGAGTGAAGCTTGTGAATAACAATCTGCTCGTCTGGCAGCAGGCTGAGCCAGTGAGCATAATGCATTACCAGCCTTCTTCCTATATTCCTTTGAGCAAACCCACAAACTCGAAGGCAGAACTGAATAAACCACGACACTGCCATATGCCGTCTTCTAGCAGCCGCACACGAAGGGCAAAGGGGGTTTAAGAATTACCAAAAGAGAGAAGGGCACTCTGCTGTCGAAACAGTGCAACTGTTTTCAACCATGTACGTCATGTATTAAAAAAATAGTAGCACAGTCAACATAAAAATAAAGTAACATAATAGGGTCACAAACGCAACTTGTCTTTGGCAAGAAGTCCTGGACGCTGAGTCCGAGCACGGGTTCCCCTCACGTTCATGTCACCTGCGACCCATCTCAGTCTGTCGCAAGAAGTGGATGTTATTTACGTTGTCGGCCAACTCTGGGAACTGGTCGACCGATACGATGTAGAAGCCCTCGTAGCCCTGCACGTGTCCGCCACTCAGGAGTTGCTGCCTCTCCCCATCTGTCCAAGCTCGAGAGCCCTCTTCTCCTTGCCGGAGTCTGTGGCGTTCACGAGCCCAGGCGGCTGCGACGACCCTCTGACGTGCGAGCTCCAGCACACGGACCTTCTCTTCATCCTGGCTGCTGCCGTAGCGAACGTTGAGGCACAGCGTACCGTACTGCAGTTGGATGTCGGTTATGCGGCGCGAACGGCCACTGAGGACTGTGTTGACCTGCGAGACAGTTACATTTACACCTGTCTCCAGTGTACGCTGGCCCACTGTCATGCCTAGCAGAGATAGGTCGCCCTCCACCGGTCCCGATTTGACAAAGTAGTGCGTGTCCAATCCTGTGATGGTGAAGTGTAGATCCTGCAGGTAGGTGGCCTTGTCCAGGACCGCCGCGATCCGCCGCCCATCCTCGTTGGCCAGGCTGATGATGTCAGCAGCAACACGGCCCTCCCGGATGGCTACTTTCACACCTTTCCCGAAGAGCGAGGCCCCTGTGGCGAAGAGCGTGCGGAGGGGCGTTTGAGGGCAACCGGAATCACTCGATCTGTAGATCTGGTCAAACCGCTCCAACCGGACGAAAGACTTCAGCTGCCTCTGGACTTCACATTGTACCCCCAGAACGGACTGCAAGAAGACAAACAAAACCCTGTGAGTGTCCTGGCATCAACTTCTTCACATTGATCATGGGTGACTACTTTCATCGAGTGAATAAATTAAACGTATGATATTGCATCTCCAAAACAACATTCGCAATTACTGTTGGCCACAGTGAGGTTGGTAGCGGTATTGATTGAATGTGACATATTATGACATGTTTCATCTCAGCAAAACACTGTGCGTTGTAAATCCTTGCATATGATTTTCACATTCATTATGTTATCTCTTCCAGTGGCAGGCGTCATTGCGCCCACCGCCTTCGCTACTGCTATTTCCTGGGAGTAAGTAACATTTCCTGATGGTTTGTGCAGGATGGGTGATCTCAGCGGGAAACTCATCCTACCCCCACGTTCAGCTGCTCGACTTTCCCCTCAACCAAGAATCGTGCTGCTTCATTAACACTTCAAACATTACACATTTCCTGATATAACTACATAGCATAACCCATTCTATTTTATGTTCAGGTGTGAAGTGTGGATCAGGTGATTTTTTTTAAGATCTTCTAAATGTGCTGATCCTTGAACTCTTGAATAACTTTTGTTTGTAGGGAGTAAACAGGTTTCCATGAGGAAAACTGAATACAAGACTCTCTCTTTAGGCCAACAGTAATGCAGTAATAAGTCATCCTCTCTTTAATGTGACTTGACGGGAAACCTTCGCCCCAAGAGAAGATTTAGATAACCATGAGGGACCTAAGCGTGCAGATGGATTGTACTAGTCCTAGAAATAGTGTGTTCTGGGTGTCAGACTCCAGAGCTCCTGTCCGGAAGGAGAAACAGAGTCCAGCTGAAGCTCTGGCACTGAAACAAAGTTCTCATGTTATCTGATATGACTCCCTCAGAGTATATGTCCCCTTCTCTCCCTTTGCCTCCAGTGAGTGTCGCCCTTCACTACAGATTAAGTTACTGAACTTGAAAAGAAACAAAAGGCCTCTTTAATGACTCAGCTGTTTTTCCTAGACAGTGATGTGATTTAATGGAAAGCAAATGGAGTTCCCTGTTCCTCATATGTTTCTCCTGATTAAAAGACCCCGTTAATCTCACATGTGCCTTCTCTAGAGTTTCAGAAGAGATCTCAACAACGAATCAAACTGTGCTCAGATTTGAAATCTTCAATATTGAATTATATTGGCTGCTTTCCACATTAAATTTGCAGTACTATAAGCAAATATGCCAGCTCATCTCACCACAAAATGGATGGTGAGGGCAGTTTATGCTGCAACCTACCTATTTTGACTTTTCTCTGACCAAAAAAAAAAAGAATGCATTATTCAAATAGCACTGGGTGGTAAGACAGCATGGAGGCCTATCAGCACAGGGCTCTGATCAAAGTCAAAATCAATCTGCGGACATCCAGTGGATATCAGCCAGCACATTTACATCCTTTTTCATCCACACAGGTCTTTAAGACCCTGGGAGTCTAAATGACAAGGAGAAAGAGAAAATGTGCTGATCCTTGAACTCTTGAATAACTTTTGTTTGTAGGGAGTAAACAGGTTTCCATGAGGAAAACTGAATACAAGACTCTCTCTTTAGGCCAACAGTAATGCAGTAATAAGTCATCCTCTCTTTAATGTGACTTGACGGGAAACCTTCGCCCCAAGAGAAGATTTAGATAACCATGAGGGACCTAAGCGTGCAGATGGATTGTACTAGTCCTAGAAATAGTGTGTTCTGGGTGTCAGACTCCAGAGCTCCTGTCCGGAAGGAGAAACAGAGTCCAGCTGAAGCTCTGGCACTGAAACAAAGTTCTCATGTTATCTGATATGACTCCCTCAGAGTATATGTCCCCTTCTCTCCCTTTGCCTCCAGTGAGTGTCGCCCTTCACTACAGATTAAGTTACTGAACTTGAAAAGAAACAAAAGGCCTCTTTAATGACTCAGCTGTTTTTCCTAGACAGTGATGTGATTTAATGGAAAGCAAATGGAGTTCCCTGTTCCTCATATGTTTCTCCTGATTAAAAGACCCCGTTAATCTCACATGTGCCTTCTCTAGAGTTTCAGAAGAGATCTCAACAACGAATCAAACTGTGCTCAGATTTGAAATCTTCAATATTGAATTATATTGGCTGCTTTCCACATTAAATTTGCAGTACTATAAGCAAATATGCCAGCTCATCTCACCACAAAATGGATGGTGAGGGCAGTTTATGCTGCAACCTACCTATTTTGACTTTTCTCTGACCAAAAAAAAAAAGAATGCATCAAAATCAATCAAAGTCAAAATCAATCTGCGGACATCCAGTGGATATCAGCCAGCACATTTACATCCTTTTTCATCCACACAGGTCTTTAAGACCCTGGGAATCTAAATGACAAGGAGAAAGAGAGTGATAAATCTATCATGTTCAGTGTTAGAAGCAACAGAACTCCTATCCAAAAAAACTCAAATTCAATTAGGAAACGCTGACTAAGAGTAAGAACACAGGATTGAGCAGGTGAATCTCAAAGCCAAAGTCCATATTTCACACCAAAATCAAAAGGGAAAAAAAGATAATTTCTATATATTAAATTGTATTTTGTATAATGACAACAAAGCATAACTTTATGACCATTAATTCCATTGGGGCAGTATTTGATTTGATATTCATGATAATTAAGCACTTTTTTTCTCAAAATTCTCAAGGATTAGTTCATAAAAATAAAAATAAATATAAATTACATTGAGTAAATTATAAAAGATTTGTCGGTAGCACTTTATTTTACAGTACTGTTCCGTGAGTACATACTATGTTCTTATTATAGCAATTAAAATAACTGGGTAATAACTATGTACTAACCCTGAACCTACCCCTAAACCTAACCTGATCCCATGTAGTTACCTTGTACTACCCAGTACGTTCTTGGTAAGTACACATACTGTAAAATAAAGTGTGATCAATTTGTCATATTTTGTTATATTAACTCTATAAAAATGTAAATAGTAATTAAAACACCATGTTTGTAATATCTTAATTTAATCAGAACGTTAATTTGGTAATAACATTGTGTCAGTGAGAACTTAGGGAGAATTAATGTGCTCAATTGTCATGAAAATAAAGTGACGTGACATGACATGTGGCCAAGTATGGTGACCCATACTCAGAATTAGTGCTCTGCATTTATCCCATCCAAAGTGCACACACACACAGCAGTGAACACACACAAACCGTGAACACACACCCGGAGCAGTGGGCAGCCATTTATGCTGCGGCGCCCGGGGAGCAGTTGGGGGTTCGGTGCCTTGCTCAAGGGCACCTCAGTCGTGGTATATAATGTCACACTCGTTTGTTTGTTTTTCTTTTACTTTAGGAGTGAAATATAACCCATGTTCTTTGTAAGACGCACATCAGCATCACTCCTACAGTTGTTTTTGTGTAGGTACTAGGTAGTAGGGTTTCTTAATAGTTGCAAAATATGAAATTTCAGCCAGAAAAAAAAAATGGAGGAAAAATAGCTACTGGTAATGAAGGGTCATTTTCTCTATGCCTTCAGATATTCTGCACTGCAGGTCTTGTAAATTTAACATGTGCATTATGGCATAAACAACCCACTTTAGACTCTCAAAAGAGTAGCAGTACAGCTCCAAGGCCATTATTATATATATATTTTTAATGCAGCTGCTTTAAAAGACCCTGCATGACCCCACAATTACATTGCCAAAAAGCAAATTGGTTGGCAATTAGAATTGTTTACTGCCCCCTAATAAAAGCGAAAAATCTGCGTGTGGGGTTGAGCCAGCAAGAGCTGATTTATGGGTAACTATGCAAATGACTGTGGGACACAGATCATTCTTTTTCGGTCTCACTTCCAAAGTAAAGCTTCAGTCTCAGAGTAAACATTCAAAAGTTTGTACTCGTAAAGAATACATATACATTTATATACAATGTAACATTTGAAAAATTTAACATTTGAAATGGAAAATTCAAGCAAGGGTTTGGAATTGAATTAGGCTCTTTTGAGAGCAGCCTTGCAAGAGGTATTGTATGCACTTCTGAAGTTCCCACAGGAGAGGAACCCTACAAGGTACATGACAGAGGGGGAGTCTCCCTTGAGGGTTGAGATTGCTGCCCAACAGAGTCCATCGTTGCATCTTTGCATTGTGTCCAAGTTGATTTCAAGTCAGCCCACACCACTCCCAAAGAAAGAAAAAAAAAACTTAAAAAAAAAAAGTTTAACTTTTCACAGGTTTTGAGAAGTGGTCACACTAGAAAAGTTTATTTCCCACTCTGTTGATGGAGATGATGGTTGGATCCAAAGGCCTCAAGTAACTGAGCCCTAATTTTTTAATGTTTTGCACAGGTGGAAACATTTTAAATACACGCCCTGACAATATAAACAGCTTTGTATGCAAGAGCACACTATGAGATGAGACTGTTTGCTCTTCATTCAATTATAATGATTGGTTCCCAAAAGAGAATTCATTAGGACAAGCCTGGTTTAATACCTTCTAAAACAGAGATATTCTGTTGGTAGGTGAGTCTGCATGGCCATCAAAACCTAACAGAACTCTCTGAAAGAGACTGTTTGATCTCATAACTCAACTAAATAAAAACAAAAGCTGTGGTGTCTAAAACTTGAAAGTCCTTTTTGGGATACTTCAGTTCTCCTCGAATGTGTGAAAGCCATATGAAACCTGCCAGGCTGACGGCTTCAAATAGCTCCATCACATTACATTTAAAATCTCATATCTCAGCTGTCTGAGGCTCACCCATGTCGCTCAGCCTCAAATGCTTGCTTATTAAAGTGCCTGATACTTTGAGGTTGTGCTGCTTATACTGTTTGGTGCATGGAATGGAAGTTCTTACCATCAAGGGGACTGGACTTACCATACAAGCCTATCAGTTTTAAAATTCAAGTAGTTTAAGTTGCTTTTATACATCCATATAGCTCACAGAAGTGGGCAGTAGAAAATCACGGTACGAGCAAATTTATAAAATGTTATCAACACAATATATATTTTCATGATCTTTTCTGGATTTTCCAAAAAATGGGTATCAAATAAATGTGATCAAATAAAAAGCTAATTTTAAAAAATTTTCTGAGTTTGGACTTTTTTGAGATTTATTGAGAGGAATATATAGCTACCACTACACTGTAAAAATGATTTTCGAAGTATGTTAATTCAATGTTTTAACTGCCATTTCTTTGTGATTATTGTGAACTTTACTAGCAATTTCTGAGTGAAAATTGTTTATATACTTTCTTCAGTGTACAGTATGAGTGGTGTGAAATAAAGTTAAAGTAGTTTTTTTTAAATCAATATCATAATTTTAGGTTAGAATTATATGAATGAATGTAACAAGAATTTCTGACCATGTCTGTAACAAGTGATTTGAGTCCCAGTCAATAAGTCTCACCAAGGCTACATTTACTTGATAAAAAACAGTAACTTGAAACAAAAACAGTAATATTAAAATGTATTATTACAGTTTAAAATAACTGTTTTATTGTTCTATTTTAATATATTTTAAAATGTAATTTATTCCTGTGATGGCAAAGTTAAGCTATTATCAATGTTGAAAACTGAATATGATAATATAATATAATTTTTTTTTTATAGTTTTAAATAATTAATTAAATTGTGAAATTATGAAAAAAGCTGTTTAAAATAATTTTAGATAGAGTACAGCATTTTACACCAAAGGATATGCAAACTTCCCAAAAGTATTTGAAGTGTCAGCTACCAATTTTACCTTATATACCTCTTTATCTTCTTGAAAGAACCATTAGTTTGAGCCAGGACAGTTTAAGAGGTAAGGCGTCCTTAACAACAGCCAAAAGAGCTGCCACCATGTCCAACTGGCTTCTCAATTATTCAGATGGCTTAAAGGAGGCTCGATAATCAGTACATGTCTGAGACAGGGAACAGGGAACGTTGAGACAAAGAAGCATAAAGATAGGGAAAGAGAGGGAGACAACATCTTAAAGAGAGCTAAAGAGTGTGAAAGACTGAGCTGAAATCAATGGCTGCTGCTGGAGGAAATTTGGACTGAATTTCCCTAATGGCAGTCCTATTACAAGGGCTCTTTAGCTTGGCCCCTTGAGCAGCCAGAGCAGAGGCTGCGCTTATTCACACGAGCATCTGGGTTGATTGCTGTGAACGTCTTTGGGAGGCGGCAAACTGAAAGGTAAAGGTACTGCAAATAAAGTCTGAAGTTAGGGTCAAAGGCCAGGTGTGTTTTTAAAGAGGTGGGCAAACAAAAAGACAAATTTGTTGGATGAATTACCTTGCTGCTATCCCACTCCTGAGTCTTCATCTGAGTGTGAATGAGCTCGTAAGAAGGCTCCATGGTATCCGTGACAGGTTTGTGGTAGCCAGGTATGACGTTGTATAGCTGGAAACCAAATGTCACTAGCCAGCTGTTAACATCTGTTGAAAAAGAAATGCTGTGATGAACTACACTTACAGCAGAGCAAAAGGTAACTGCAGCACTCACTGATAATTCCTGTACAACGATTTACTCTATTTGGGGCGAACTACACCACAAAAGCATGATTCATTGCAAATCAGGACACATGCCAAGTGAGCTCCTTCTTGAAATAAGCTCGCTCAGTCGTTACAGGCAACACTAGTTTCAGAGACTGGACTAAATATGATTAATCTGCCACAGGAAGATGATGATCATTTGTAGCACTTTGTCCACACAAAACACTGATAAAATTACATCCGGCATGTGAGAAACTTGATGTCTGAGATCTGCTGGTGTGCTTGATAATCATATCATGCTGTGACCACATGTGTCACCCTTTCTATAATCAGAATATGTATTTTTGTATTTGTGCATATTCATAAGCATTATCATGGATACTGAATCAAATTATAATATACAGTGAGTATGAACCTTACCTAAATCAAATGGCCTTTTTAGTGATTTTTCCATGCCACATCAAATACATTAGTCATGGATAGAAGAGACATTGTTATAGCAATGAAGTGCACACTTACGACTGCTCCTTTATTTAAGGCACTTGACAGAGTTGTTTTAAATATGAATGTGATTAAGGACAATGAAAGGACCCTTCTGTTTGTCAGAGAGGAATGAAAATGTCAATGCCATCCTTCATAAAGGCTGACAGCCCACTCAAGTACATCTAATATCCAGCAGAATCTTTAGATTTCCTTCTTCAAAGCTAACTTTAATGATGTAGGCTACAGCCTAGCAGCTAGGTGTTTAGCTGAGCTTGAAATATGGCTAGTAATATTTGCTTACATATGCTATATCCTTCTGAAAAAGCCAGCAAAAACTAACATAGGTTAGTTTAGAAAATGCTGGTTAGTTCTGGTCTAGTTGGTGTAGCAGTATATTTGTGTTATTTGCTATTCAATGTACAACAAAAACAAGTAACCAGGTATAGTATTCTGTAGTGGTGCTATATTATAGTCAAAAATTGTTCTGGGAAATTCTCATTAGGTTCACTCTTGTTACAGCCAAGGTAAAAGTTAGAGGCAGGGTTGTTGCAGCACTCCAAATAAACTAAACAAAATAAAGTGTATGAATGTTGCATATGAATTATCAGAGAACAAGGGCTCATCTCGCCAACAAATCTTTTCGACAGGATACGCAAAGGAAATACACAGAGGAACACATTAGAACAAGGCAGCTCTAACATAAACAACCAATATCTTGATTCTATAGTGTTCATTTCCTTTTATAGCAAGGGCACGAACCAAGGCTTTGATTTCAGTCAAAAACCAGCATGCATTCACTGTTATAGACTTCAAATGTGACTATAATATTTTGAAGATTGCGACTTCACTTTCAAGTGGAGTGAAAAGCGATTCAGCCGCTAGCTTCTAGTTCCATGGACTCCTTTGTGTTATTTGTCTAACACTGGGGAGCATTCATTAATATTTACCTCCTGTACAGGCTGGGGAAGCAAGGACTGATGGGATATTTCAGAGGAACAACCTGAATGTAGAACAAAGGGGACTTTGTTGTGCTGTCATTGCTCACAAGCTGGGGCTGGGACGAGAGCCTGAAAAATAATCACTCTAGTGCAAGGATTCTTGGCACCAGGTGCTCATGGTGTTTTAGATTGTTGAAGGTAAAATGTAACAGTGGAGTTATTTACAGGCTATTTAATAGCCCTCCCAGCCTTCGGCCTGAGGTGTTGGCATAGGCTCCAGAATATGACCATACATAGGGCAAGCGTTTTGGATAATAGATAGATGGATGGATGTATTAAATAACGTCACCCTCTGTGTGTTTCAACAAAAGATTCATAAGAAATTATGTGTTTACCTGTCATGTAGCACTTGGTTTCTTGGTTGTTGCTCAGTGGGTTGTTGTTCTTAAACATGTAGAGGTTGAAGGGTACAATGTTGTTGCTGTTGAGTCGCTTCCAAACATCATGCTCCGGAGTGGTCCATCGGCCTGCAAGAACATCGTAATCTCTGCGTCCCATGTGGACAAGCTTAGTAAGGGGCTCATAAAGGCCACCCTGGTAGCCTATTACTAGCTGGAAACTTGGGTTGGAGTCCAAATACACTTCTCCAAAAGCTGTGTGCAGGATCTGTTTGATCATGAGACCAGCACCACTGAATACAGCCAACGGTGTACCGATGTTGTCACAGGCCACGTAGAACTCATCCCCACTGCTCAACTCCATGGCAAAGAGGTGGCCCTGAAGATCATAGTAGAGCGAGGTGATCTCTGAGCTTGAGTGATTGTACATGTGCGTGACTCTGGTGGGACTGGACAAGTCTGCGTAGAAGAATTGCAGATGGTGGCCTTGGCTGTTTCGACTGGACACTCTCCGGCCCAAGCCATCATAGCGGTACTTGATGGTCCAACCGTTAACTTTGTTGTAGGCTTTAACAAGCAACCCCGCAGAGTTATACTCGAAGAAGTCATTTCCTCTCTGCCTGAGGAATCCATCCTCGTCCAACCGGTACTGCACGTCACCTAATCGAGTAATGCGGTCCCGAATATCGTAGCGTAGTGGTGTAAGCCTGGCACTATTACCGGGACTAAGGAGGTGCAAATTCCCATTCAGATCATAGCTGTAGCGCCAAAGAGGCTTGTCATTGATGGACACCACTTGGAGTTGGCCATCAGCATCATACTCGTAGGCGTAGCGGGTGGTATTTGCATAGGGCCCCACTTTAAGCTCCTTGGCCACCACTCGCCCCATGTTGTCGTACTGTACCATCATCCAGAACATCAGCGAACGGAAAATCTCATACTGCACCTCTTTAACTCGCCCATAGGCATCAAAGTGTTTGGTGTGAGTCATGACAGCTGTGGTAATGATCTGGTTAATATCATAGTAGATGACTCCGAACTTGCCAAACTGCTCCGTTTTGCCTGAGACGTCATCGTAGCGATAGAGGTCAATAGGTAAGGGGGTTTCATTGATGACCGCCTGCATGCTGGTGACCCGGAAGCTGTTGTCGTAGTTGTAGTCGAACCGGGCATTCACCATGCCCTCCTCACTGAAACGAAATATCTGTCTGTCGATGAGCGGTCCAATCTGTCTGTAGCGTATGGTACATGCAAAGCCTTCGCTTTGAAGCCCCACCGTTTTCAGCATGCCTGCAGATTCATCATAAGAAAAGGCAATCCGTGTTGTATCATAAAGGATTTCCAGCAGACGTGAGAGTTTCCCATACTTGTAGATGACTCTGCGCCCCGTTCCTTGGTGGATGGTTTGCAGAAGCAGTCCATCTTCGCTGTAATCTTGCAAAACTGTGGCGTTGCCCTCAGGTGGCCTGTACGTGTTTCTGTAATAACCGATGGAACGGGTGGTCTCCAAGGTCTGCCTAGCCACATTGGGCATGGTTACTGAAGAGAGGCGATCGTTCTTGTCAAACTCGAAGATGTATTGTCGCTGGCTGTATAGTAGCAGCACCATGGACTGTCAAAGGAAAATGACAAAACGATGCTCAGTAAGCTGATTTAATGAAGCACAGTAATTCCCAACACATTCTGAGAGCACTTCAAACAGTTAAATGTGAAATTCTCCACCCAGTGAAACTGAAGGTCACAAAGTACCCAGGAGTCACATTGCACCACATGAATAACTGCACAACAAACTGTAGGGTGTCACAGAATCACTTCAGGGTGCATAAAAATGACAAATATGCTGCTCTAGAACATTGACTGAAAAATTAAGAAGGGCAACATCTCATTCAATGAGGATTAAGTCATCATACCCCCACCCTCCCC